TCAGTTTGTACATGTACCTGAAAGCAAAGGGGATTGCAAATGGGTCAGTTTGTACATGTACCTGAAAGCAAAGGGGATTGCCAATGGGTCAGTTTGTACATGTTCCTGAAAGCAAAGGGGATGGCAAATGGGTCAGTTTGTACATGTACCTGAAAGCAAAGGGGATTGCCAATGGATCAGTTTGTACATGTACCTGAAAGCAAAGGGGATGGCAAATGGGTCAGTTTGGACATGTACCTGAAAGCAAAGGGGACGGCCAATGGGTCAGTTGGTACATGTACCTGAAAGCAAAGGGGATTGTCAATGGGTCGGTTTGTACATGTACCTGAAAGCAAAGGGGATGGCCAATGGGTCAGTTTGGACATGTACCTGAAAGCAAAGGGGATTGCAAACGGGTCAGTTTGTACATGTACCTGAAAGCAAAGGGGATTGCAAACGGGTCAGTTTGTACATGTACCTGAAAGCAAAGGGGATTGCTAACGGGTCAGTTTGTAGAAGTACCTGAAAGCAAAGGGGATTGCATGTGGTAAATTATTACATGTACAGATTCACTGTTACTCAGACTAAGGGCTCCAAATGAGGACCTGTTAAATTGTGAGTTCATAACCGCAATACAAAAGGCAGAAAACTTCAAATGATATTATGGTGTTGGTTTAGAGCATTGATGGTCAGTCTTTGATTAGCGTGGCCTCACTTACCGGGAAGACTGTCCTATGTGTGTAGTTGAGAACAACATACAAGTACATGGCATGTGCAGTATGGCATATTGCACAGTTCTCCCCAAGCAAGCCACTTTGCTATGAGGTTGCTTCTTGACAGTCAGGAGTAGACTTTATCAAGGCAGGTGTGGTTATAAAGAATCAAGAGCTCTTAAGGCACACTAATGACATGTTACAAAACTCCGGAGGAAATTAACACCTCCCTAAATTGAAAAGAAAATATGTTGCACAAAAATCACTGTTTTGATTTTAGAATGTGCATTTCCTACTTGGAACAGTTAGGTCACAGTGGGACCCATTTCCAAACCCTTTATCTGTCTTATGTCATCAAATTGTTTATTTCTATGATACTTTTTCTGTCAGTACTAATGTGTTTGAACAGACTTGTCAAATATGGCTTAGTTTCTCTTGTGCCTCTTTCCTCGCTTGTGGGGACGTGCTGAACACATGTGAGCTATTCCTGTATGGAATCACGTATGGTCTTCGCATCGTGTGCGCCAAATGCTTCAATGAGACCAATTGTAAAACTTCCTGCTAGGCTGTCTCGTCTTTGCCGTTGAGGGTGCACTTCAACTTGGAGCGGATAATGCATTTTGTTTATGGCATGGTTTGTAGTGTACTTTGTATTAGAGATCATAAATGTACTCAGATCGACACAGTATTTTCGTAGTGTTATTTAAAATTTTGTATTTCAAAAAAGCATTATGGAGAGGTTCTTTCTTCTATTTATCAGTATAGATCAATCAGTTATTATTTAGAGATATATATAAGATATTTAGTTTTTGCTCACTTAACGTAAGTTGGCTTGGAAACTTGGAACCAGTTCTCGAACTCAGAACAATCGTCCTTTCTCTGGATGTTACTTTTGGTCATGATAACACTTTTTAGTGGGCTCTGAGTCAGGAGAGCTGCGTGTCTGACTTTAATTATTTGTCTCAGTCCTTTTGTTGAAGAACATTACATTTAATTGCATGTTTGGTGTATTTTCCATATTTCATTTGCTCTTCCTAAATACCAGAGTAACAACAAACATTGCCTTTGAGCTTGACATTTTTTTCAAAACTACTCTCATTATTAAATGTATATATTTTAATTTCAAAAGCAGTACTAAGAGTATATTTTCACAATGTGTTGCCTATGTAAGTATTGGATTTTTTCCAAAAAGTACTCCTGTGAGTTTTCTTTTCAGATGAAATGTTATCGTTTTTTTTCTTACGGTCTAAGATTTGCTTTTCAGAAATGGTCCAAGATAATGGTTGTAAATGTTACTTCAACAGAGGGCATGGTTTCAATTCAACCATTTTGTTAAAATTCCTTTTTCAATAAAACCAGTAAAAAGAAACCTCAATTGTTTTAGGTGTTCCAAGCCCTCAACAAAATTAGACAAATAATAAGGCTTTGCTTCTGCTTTTTTTTCTGATGTAAAGAAGTGTGTATTGTTCTAGGTTCCACACCACCTACTGAAAAACGACATTTCACACTCCAGCGTGGAGAACCTTCCTAGCTTGTTCATTGTGGATTAACAGTTTCCCAACTCTCAAACAGCGTGTCCAAATTAGCCAATAGAAACACAGAGTAGTTGCTCATTTTCCAGTAATGAGAGCAACAGTATTGCCTTGGTATATGCATTGCATATTACAAGCAGAATCTTGCGCAATATGTCTTGTTAGGCTTTTTTTCATGAGAATTATAATAAATAGCACAAAATTGTGGGGACTAAAATACTCTGTTCTCAATACTGCAGAACAGATAATCTATTGACATACGACATGCTTGTGGATTTTTTTAATCGTTGTAGTTTCCTTATCTTTAAAAAAGAAATATATTTTTCTAGTATATAAAATTTATATGAAATGGAAGATAAAATTATGTAGATTATTGATGGAGTTAAACTTTGATGCATTTGGTGGAACTGTCTTTGAGACCAGGTTATAATACTGAACAGTGGTCTGTATATTTAGGGAATTTGTTTACTATACCCAACTGCAAATTTAAAAACACATAGTATCATTAAAAGGATTGTGAAATTTAAAGTATGCAGATATATTGTGAATTTAGTAAACGGCACATCAACGACACCGACTGTGTTCTGCATTTAATGCAGCAGCATTACTTGACAGAGTCAGTTTGGGGTGTCTGATTTCATAAATGAATTTTTGCAACTCAGAAAAAAAATTACAGTGTGTAAGCAAAGTACTATATTGAGATGTGAGAATAAAAGAGTTTTGAACTAGAGTAACAAAATTACAAACAAATAACTTTATATTTTAAACAATATTTCACCTTATATATCGTATGTTTCCTGATTGGTGTTTGTGTGTAACAGTGATATATTTCCCAATTCTTAGAAATCTTACAATTTACCAAGATTTGCCTAGAAATGATTATAATACACATGTTCTGTCTGATATGCAGGAGGCGTTTGTAAATAGCATGGTGAGATTAAAAAAAATTGAAAAAAACCTGTGGGAACTCTTTGTGCCTTCTTGAAGTAAAGATTCAAGACGCATTCAATTTCGTGTTATCCTGCACGGTATCGGAATAACAGAGCATCCCCGAAGTCCTGGCCTTGTAGCTTGCATACACATGTACTATTGTTCAAGATTGCACTTGTTATATTAAGTTATTCTTTTATTTTTTTTGGTCATTTCAGTGGACTTCCACACAGTATTTTTTATGTGGCTGTAATAAACTACAAAAAATCTTTTGAAACTGCAAGGGCCAAGAAAAATCAGAGTTATTAGGAAAACTGTGTTAATCACCCCCCCAAAAAACAAAGGGCAAAGCAACAAAACTTTTATAGTCATTGTTATACGTGGATAGGAGTACAGCTTATATTGACATCAATGCCACAATCCAACATCTGTTTTGAACGCATCGACTGGTACGAATTAAAACAAGAACTATCGCCTCAGATGAACTGTAAAAAATAAACGGTGACAGATCGCTATCTACTTTCCCGCACTATGAGTATGATGTTGTTTCCACACCGTAGTCTACATTTTTGGCGATATTTACAAAAATGTACTGTCACCCGTATCAGTGTACATGTACATCGCAAATGCCACAACAGGTGGTTGGGTCAGGAAGTTGTTAAATCCTTGACCGTGTCCAGCATTTAGACGCCTACAGTTTACAGACGAAACTTTTTGGAGCCTCGCAAGGATGATCATTCAGTGCTTCGAACCATTCCATACATTCGCCGTCACCGCTCGGTTCTCCATCCTGAAAGTGTAGTCTACCTATGGCTACGTACGAACCATCAGCCCATTGAAAAGTGGTGTTTCGGTTATGGTCTTTCAACAAGCCAATCCACACACCATGAGCCCGACGTGACTGGCTTACGAACTGCTCCTCGTTGGGGTTGCCTACTGACGCCAGGTGGGCCATTTTCCCTGGATGAGACAGCATTTGACAGAAGCGTTCAGCATCCATCCAAGACATTGCCTCGGCAAACCACCGGTAGCAGTGCCCACCGACAACACTCCAGTTTGGCGGGCAATAAGGTATGCTGCAGGTACTCAGAGCAGGGGTCCCGCCCAGGAACGCCCAAAGAGACATCATCATGAGGAGACCGGTAAAATTCATGGTTATTCTTTAATAATATCCCTGTCTGCAAAACGTTCAGTAGGCCTAGTGACGTAGAAGTATGGGCGGTTGTAGCCTTGCGGATGCGGACCATCGGCACAAAATGTAAATGGCGCAATCTCGGTTTTCAGAGTAGTCGGGGGTCAGCTCTTTTAATCAGAAAAAAATCCGCTCGTCACTTAAACTTGACAGCCGCGAACGAGCAAACAATATGCCATTTAATTAGGAAGCCAGGCTCTTTTTCTCACATACGTCAACTTACGACTAGACCCGCAGCGACAGGTTTGTCCCAAGTGACAGTCGGCAATTAGGCATGACAGTCTTCAAATGAGTAATGCATGGAGATATTAGCTTTGATCGAATACTGAATTGCAACCTCGCCCTTTTAACAAACTGTAACCAAGGCTATACCTCGTTCTTATTGACAGTTGTTTGTTTTCATTACCATATAAAACTGAAGATAAAGTGACTTAATAATTACACACGTGTGATGTCGATGTATAGTCTCTAAATAATTTAGAGATAATCTTAAAATTATCTCAAGACGTCTTAAAATGCACCGTGGGCGTGAGAGTAAATCCCCGGATAAGTAGGCCTATCCCCTCCACTTTGGGGGGATGTGCTTTCAACCCCCACTTTTTCGTGTGAGAAAAAAAGGCGGATGGGGAGAATTTCTCGGATTTCCCTCTAACCCAAATATATTCAATAGGACTCAAAAAGGGAGAATAATTTGTAAAAAGTCATAAATATGCCGTTTTGATGTAAGATTCTGCAGGAATGTGATACATATTACAGATGCACATCGCCCCCTACATAGTGTCACCCAACTCCCACTTAAACTTTTATGGCCTGGCAAATCATCCTCCACAATGCCCCATCCACCCCCCACCCCCCAGGTCCCGGCACAAATTTATGCCACTGACCATGCAGGAGAGGGTGTGTTTTGAAATCATTTTCAAGATATCTTATACTGTTTTGATTTCATATATCTCGAAATGGTTTGATATGGATTCTCTGATATCTCGAAATGGACTATGAGATGCATGGTCAGCTGAAATGGATCTGATTCGAGCATTCCTTTCAATATAAATGAAATTGTTGAGAATAAGGCTACGCTATTTGTTCAGTCTTAATACATGAGTGATTCTACAGCAATGATCTCAGTTTTGGTTGTTCAGTTATCAACAAATGGTGATTATTGTAAACAGTTGAACACGTGACCACACATCGTTGGCTTAACGGCTGAACGGTTTAATTTCACCTTTTTTAAAATTCATGTACATGCAAAAAGTTGCTCAGGTTTATAATTTTTAATTTGTAATTAAATTTCTAATTTTATAATGCGCAAAGCTACATACGCAGTGACTTAAAAACAGAAAAATCCAGAAAATGACAATCCCACGAAAAAAATTACCTGTTACGGTCTTGTAATCAAAGTGGTTAGTTCTACAAAAAGACCGAAATAAGAATTTGTTGGTTGTGAAACTCGGTCTGTATATCTTTGGGTACACTACATGTAGGCGCCTTTGCTCTGTTTTCGTGACATTGACACACGATTTCACGTCATCAGGGAAAATGGAAAAATGGTCCATGTTAATGCTATTCTGATAATGACGGATATTAATTCTTTGCATGCACTGTGTAAAATCACAGAGCTTTAACAAATATCGATACTTCAAGTCACGTTCGTGCAATATTATTTCACTCAATAGCACTTGCTTGATTATCAAATTCCATTCGGCTTCGGTCATGAAATGGAAAATTTCATGTTTCTCTTCATGAAATTATTCCGATTGCTCTCACTGACACAAAAATTAGTTATGTTCTATTTAGCTTAGGCCAAGGCTGCCTACATAGTTTCCCAATTATACCCAGAATATAACGTTATGAAATAATGATTAGCCTGCAGTGTAATTGACTCCGTAGGAGTTAGGACCTTTCTTCTTTTTTCTCAACCGTCGGATTTTCTTTCACACAACATCATCCACCTACGCCCTCAAGGAACCACAACAATACATCTCAAAACCTCAAACTCCCAAAATCGATTAGTAATAGTAACCGATCGAATGCGTCTAATGTTCAAAAGTATTATTGATTACTCTCAACAAAAGAAACTACGGAACTTTCAACAAGTGCAGTGACGTCATTCGTTGGTCTGGTAACACTGACACGGTAGCTGTATTAGCAAGCATACGCTCAGTGAAATCTGACTACATCTTCAGACAACCAAAGTTTCCAACGTTCAGCCACTGTACTGACTTCGAAGGCGTTAGCTTCGTGGAAATTAATTCGTACGGATTTTTGACACAGTGACTCTACTGTGTGTTAAATTTTCCACCCACATCGAAGGTACAGTTTCTCTTGTGAAAATTTACGAAAAAAGATTTATGCTTTTGGGCAAAATGTACAGCCTTTGAACGTTTTAACCTGTCATGTGTTAACATGGTTAATGATGTTAATCCTTCGAGTCAGGACTGTCAATAAATAAATGACTACGTCCTTAAATTTTGTAAGCGGTCCTACTGTCACATCGTCACATCTATCCAACTTAGGTAGGACGCCAGTAGGACCCTAGATTTAGAGTTCTTGAAGAACTCCAAGTTACTGCTTCGTGTGACTGTGAGTAGTGACCAAGTTGGAGTCCTTCAAATTGTTCTAGAGCCTGTTTCTCCTCTGAATTGTCCAGGCCTGTAGGCTGTAGTGTGCATCACCTACACATGTACATGTAGGCACCTACATCGATGTATTATTTGTCAACTTGTACCGGTAGGCCTACTCGGTAGTTCGACATTTATCTTTCTTCCTCCATGATCCTAGCCCCACTAGTGTGGCACGGATAAATCGGGAGTGAGAGTCCGTGCCACACTAGTGGGGCTACCATGATCCATGTAAGCTGCTTCTGTTATTTCATTACTCGATTAATTTAGCAGGGAAAGAATGCCATATATACAACCTCCAGAGTCCATGCACGTACATGTACAGATATACATGTACAGTATGCAGATGCCATGCAGATTTTCCCCTGCAGTTAGCAGGTCGGGGACCAAACCACAGTCTAGCAATGATGCCAGACTATGCAGATGCCACTTGATTGTGCAATGATGACATAAGTTTAAACTGTTATTAGATCACAGTTCGCAGATGACATTGATCACATTATCGGCCAAAAATTTCAATACAGATTTACTCTCAGTTTCACAGGAAACATGCTACCCCAGATCTACATTAGTACATGAAACTTTCCTTTCGTTTGGTATATCTAAAAGTGGATCGAGGAGGTTTTTTTTTTTTTGTTGTATCTTGCACTGGATGTGTTGAATGTGGTGGGTAGGCGAGTCCAATTTTGCTGATGAAAACGTTTACATGAGAAAAATAAAGCTTTGCGGAAGTTTACTTTATGCATGAAAATGTTGCCATTAAAAATATCCATCGATTCAACCGTGGCAAATGTTATGCTTAGTGTGGTTATTTTCCAAAATAGCAATCACAAACAACTTTGCCATAGACTCCAACGGTAACGGCTATGGCAGCCATGTTCGCTGCCAACATTTCAAATCTCGTAATTTTCCCAAAATCTTGCGGGAAAACTTCATCATTATCATGTGACCTGATCAAAATGACGTCATTGCTGCTTGAATAAGTGACATAAGCAGAAACTATGGACATCGCTAGATTGTGGTTTGGTCCTCGACCTGATTAGCCATGGCAACAAGATGCCCTAAAAAGTCAAATGTAGCAGTGAAAATAGGCCTGGGCCATAAGGAATTCACTTAGAAAACAGAATTTTTGGGACCAGTCTTTAGGGTTTGTGCACAGATGTTACATGTAAGTTGCATCCGTAATGACATTCTTTCCATAATGTTAAATATCCAGACACGAACAACCCCCAGACAGTCTCAAATGCCTAGACATGAGCAATGCCTTCTTTCCAAAATAATGTTTTGGGTTGAAAAGAGCAAGTGGACCATTTGTAAATAATGGGCATGATCGGTCAATCTGCACAGTTGCCTGTCTTTGTACAATCGGTTGATCTTACATGTACATGTATTTCCTGATTTGTTGATAATTCTGCCATCAGCCAACAGCCTTTTCTTAATTGTGATTTACGGAAGATTGTTTTCAGAAAAGGGAGGTATAATTGGAGATTTCAAACAGGATTGACCAATCTTGACCAACTGTGCAGTAACTGAGTGTTCCTGCAGACTGGCTAATCTTGCACAACACAAAAACACTTTATTCCAAAAAGTTATTACTGATGATCCCAAGATTGACGGGCTGCTTTTATTGTTGATCAAACCTTATGTGAAATGGAGGAAAACCCAGAAAGGTCTAGGGTCTTAATTCCTTGAACTAGCAATTCCCAAGGTTAAAGATTTTGTAGAAGTGAATTACTTTATTATAACAGCACTCCAAATGATCTGGAAAGTAAAAAAAACTGACTCAAGACACCTCTATTTTGAAAATTTAATTTTGAGAGCTTTTGTCAAAAATTTTTCCTGATTTACTTCATAACTCGTTGCAGATAATGTTAGGTCTACGGGATGACACACCCAAAATGTTGTGGCACAAGTGATCGTTTGAAGTAAAATGCATTTCCTGTGAAATTGCCTTAAAGAGGAATCTGTCCACAGCCTCATTGTCAATGAGGCGATGGTGGATTCGTTAGATCGACAGCGGCAGTTGTGTGCAGCATGTGAGCATGGAGATCTGGCCTTCGTCCAAGCCTTGCTTGACCAGGATGCCAGTGGGTGTGTGGATGCTGATGGAGGTGAGGGACTCACCCCATTGCAGATCGCTGCAGGGAATGGCCATGAAGACATCGTGCGGTTGCTGCTCATGCGGGGTGCTTCATTGGACAGGCAGAACCTGTATGGATGGACAGCTCTCATGCAAGCCGCAAGCCATGGCCACGCCAGCATTGTGGCACTACTGCTTCAGAACAAAGCCGACCCCAACATTAAAAACAAGTTTGGGGCGACCGCGCTGACAGCTGCAGCTCACTACGGACACATCTCCACCACAAGGGTTTTACTGGGGCTCGGCTACCTCGATCTGAATGAAAGAGAAGGGGCCAATGTGGGCCAGGCCTTCACGCCGCTCATGGTCTCAGCGCTGAGTGGGCGGGACCCAGTTCTGAAAATGCTGCTGGACAGGGGGGCGGATCAGTTCCAGGTGCACCGTCAAACGGGATGGACACCTTTGATGATGGCTGCATTGTGCGGCCACACCAGCATTGCCCAGATTCTGGTGGAGACCAGAGGATGTGACCCTGATGTCACCAACATCTTGAGCAAAACTGCCCTGGAGATTGCAATGGTAGAAAATAATAGAGAGGTCCGTGATTATCTGGATCGCAGAACAACAAACAGACCAAGAATATGTAAGTCAGAGTGCCTACATAATTATACTGGTGAGGTGATAAATACTAGTACATACATGTACATGTACTCTGCACAAGTTTAATGGAGGCAGGGGTAACCTAAATTTACACATGTACAGGGGTGTGTAATGAATATTTTTCAAAGTCAAATAGAACATGTATGTATATAATAGAACATACATTTTAAACAATATTGTAAAACTTGGTGCAACACAAGATGTCAGAATTTACTCTTGTGTCAGAAAAGGAAAATGCCGTTGTACTAACAAATATGAGAGTAGTACGGTACAAGGGCTGCAAAACTTTGGCTTAGCTGAACAACATGTTAGCTACAAAGGTAGGAAATTTGGGACAGCCTGTCATCTGAATACCACTTGTCATGTTCATGGACAACTCTGTTACATATATTTTACATATATGTGCATTACTGAGAACATTTAAAAGAGAAATCGAGATTGGACCTGTGCAGTGTACTGTGCAAGTCACTTGTTCCCTCATTTGAGTTGATTTTGAGACATGGGATCATGTCAGTGTTGCTTGTCTGCTGACACAACTGGGACAGCACATTTTGTGCATATATATACAGATGTACAGTGTATGCACATGTGATACTGTGCATACATGTATGTACATGTGCACTTGATTTGCCAGTTTGTTTTATTGGTATTTTTGTTTCCACTTTGATTCTGTACCATGTTGTTTTTCAAAGTTACCACATCTTAAATGAGAACATACTGTAGAAAAGCATTTGATTGTTAACTCGGGAAAGTAAGATTCTATTAATTTTGTTTCTGTTTACATTACATGTATACAGTAACAGAAAATAGCAAGCCAAAGGTAATTGAAGCTACAGAAGCAGGTAACAACATGTGTTTGTTTCTTTTCGTTCATATGAATCTCATTTTTGTTGTGTGTAGGACTTTGTTTTAAAAAAAAAAAACACTTCCACATTTATTACAAGTAGAAGAAAGAAATCATCATGTATGTGAATTGAGGTCGATTTCACTACACATTGTAATCCATTATTCATGCAGCATTTTCCATGTGCATACATACAATACCTGTAGATAATGCATTCTAGTTCATAGCTGTCATAATTTCAAAAAACTGTGAATGCCCTGGGACATTAATGAATACACACTTTAGGTTACGATGGGTCTCTTGGCCACTGAAAATAAATATACACGCTTTAGGGTCAATTAACAATTTGAGCATGAAGAAAAATGAGCCCAAAGTGACCATTTCTGAATTCCTTTAAATTATATTGGATGTTTGTCCTTTCATCTTACACCCTACATGTACTTCCTTTCAGGCGACATTAAACTGGTCCAGCATATTCTTGATGCGGACCTCAAACAGTGCAATAAACTGTCCCCAGAAGGCGCTACACCCCTGATGATAGCTGCCATGATGGGTCGAGGGGACATTGCAGAGTTACTGGTGCAGCGCGGTGCCGATATCAACATGCAGGATTCTAAGAGTGGATGGACGGCACTCATGCAGGCCACATTTCATAGGTAGGCTTCTTGCCATGTGCTGAGTCTGCTCTGAGGGGACAAAGTCATTCACTGGAAAAGAAAAGAGAAGCTGACAGGGAACTTTCCAATTAAGTGTCCTCCGTGCAAATGAAGACCACTCATTCCAAGAGAAATAGGTCATGTACATGTATGCTTGGCATGATTATTCTTGAGTGCACACGAACTTGTGTGCACACGTGGTGTGTCCCACCAGAGGGACATCTCTGCCGTGGAAAAACATGTCATCTCTTGTTCCTGCACAGAGCAGACATCTTCAAATTTAAATTAAAGTGAACGATTTGTATTTCACGAGAAAAAAAGGCAGCACAAACTGGAATGCGTTGAGGTACATGTACATAAGTAAAGCTGCATCAGGGACACGGTGAAAAAAATTCCTGTCATTACAGTTGATGAGTTGAATGACTGAGGTGTCATTTGTATACGTGTACGGGTTGGCTGAAGGAGGAGACAAATTTCTTTCACCGTGTTCCTGATTCAGCTTTGTAACTTTGTGGACAGTGTGTACAAAGGCTATATGTAGATAAATGGTAAAAATAAGCCAGTTTGTTGTTTGAAACAAACAGGGTCATTCGTGAACAAAGCATGCATGTGAGTCCATGAGTATCTGAGGTAGCCTATGCTGTGGGAATACTGAACTGGCTCATTAAATGAGTACAGTTCCTGATATGTGCAGTTGTTTTGGTATACAGATAATTCTTTAAAAGGCTTAAGGCTGGTTCGTACTTCTGGCGTAAGCAAATGCGAAGCGAATTTGTCAGGGAAACAGCACACGTCACAATGGAACTTTCATTGTTGACGTTTTGAAATTCGCTTTGCATTTGCTTTTGCCTGAAGTATGAACAGGCCTTCAGTTTGCCCTTGCCACTAGGCATGGCTTATCTTCATCTGTGGATTTCTTGTGCTTAGGTTACAGAAATACACTTGTGACCCGCTCTGTGAAAATGAGGCATAAGTCTACAGAGCCACTGTTTGAGTTTTCATTTGTATTGGAAAGAGTATGGCATCCTGATGAAAGTGGATACTCCATGGTGAAAAATGCTGTGGGTTCCTGTTGATTTACACTGTGCAAAATTATTCTAAAGGACTTTTTACTCCAAAGTGGCTCAGGCAACTTGTGACTCATTTTCACAGAGTGGGTCAGATTTGCACAGGGTTGGATATTTGAAATATAGCCAACAAATACAGTGAAATTTTGCAAAAGCTGTGTAACCCCGGAGCAGTGCTCAGATATAAGAACTGTGCCTTATTTATAAGGAGTATATGGACCAGTATATTACAACTTATTCCAATCAATGTGATTTAATACAAGTCTTTTTGTTTGTAGTTCAGAGTTCATGCATAGATAATAGAAAAAGCCGTTCGTTATGCTTCAAATGTTTGTGTGTCAAGATTTAGAAATTCAGGAACTTACCAGTATAGTTCATAGCTATCTTGGCCTGAATAATGCCTGAAACGATTGTAATCTGTGTTAAAATTTGATTAAATGCTTACAGGAGGAAGGACTTGGTGAAGTATTTGGTGGATGCTGGAGCTGATGTCAACATTCAGGCCAAGGATGGCTGCAAAGCTCTTGACCTGGCACTGGTCATAGTCATGAGTAAGTCAGTCACAGAAATTACACTAAAATAAACAGGTTGTGAGGAAAAAAGATGAAAATTTGCCTCTTGTGCGGGAAAGGACATATAAACCACACCAAATGTTCCAAAGGTGTGGGAATCCTCGCCAAGATATCTTTCAGTGCAGAATTCCTGTTTTTGGATCTTGACTACTCCATTTGCTATTTGTGAATGGATTTCAGAGAATGTATACATGTACAGGGCCTTGTACTATATCATGCTAATTAATTGAAGCAATAAATGAATGTAAAGTACTGCGCAAGAAATAAAATAACTCATTCTGATAAAAGCTTTGGTAACTGTAGGCTTTCCTGTCAGAAACGAGTGGGACTAAGTGATTGCAATCCAGGTTCTTTAGTGCATATGCATGGTCTACACTGAGGTGCTCAATGCACAGTGTAAATGACATTAACCATTGCATATGTATTTTTGTGGACCTGAGGCAAGACCATTGGAGACCAATAGGATGACAGTATCCAAGGGCATAATGCTGTAAATCCATTTTCCATTAACATCAGAAGTCATTTTTGAGTATCACACAGTTGACATCCTGATGAATATTGATGTCATGTGATTGAAAATTTGACTCTTCCAATATTCCACCGTGGAAAATTTAAGCAGTTGTATCTGAAACGTGGGGTTGCACATTGCAAGTTTTGTTCTGCATGAATCCCAGCCAGTAATGTATGCTTGTGTACCAGATAAGATGCATTTTTGACTTATGTATGGTGCATTTCAATTTTTATGTGTGTCTAGATGAGAATGAAAAATCCGACAATGAACTGATATCCCTCCTGGCTGCAGTCACCATGCCAACCAAGAACAATAGAGTAGCCAAAGGTCAGAGTGTAGGGTCATCGACCTGGTCCACAAAGACCAGTATGAGTCAACTGAGTGAGGACTCGCCAAGAAACGGCTTGAAGGTAAATGACAATGTTACACTGTGAGCTGTGTCCATAAGCTAAAGGTGACAATGACATTGTGTAGTGCCGCAGTAAGGACTGACATAGCGAGCACTTCCTCGGCTATACCTGGGTCAATTGGCAGATACCACACTTTCTGTATTGGCACGTACATCGTCCATGTTATTTTCAGACACAACCAAAACACTTGGAGTCAGCTTTAGCCTGTTCCAGCCTGAGCACAGCCCCAGATCTTGCTATATGGTCTGAGAATGATGAGTGCACTGTCGTCCATATGATTTCTGATGTTGGATCTGTGAATGACCAGCGCGCTGTCGTCCATATGACTTCAGATGTAGGGTCTGCGAATGATGAGTGCACTGTCGTCCATATGACTTCTGATATAGGGTCTGCAAATGACCAGC